TAACAGCACCTAACAGAGGCTAACAGTAGATAACAGTAACTAACAGCACCTAACAGAGGCTAACAGTAGATAACAGTAACTAACAGCACCTAACAAAGGCTAACAGTAGATAACAGTAACTACGGAGGTACATCTACTAACCACTATTTCTCTTTTGCTCTTTTAGCGGGCTGTTTCCCTGCAGCTGATTTGTAGACACAATCTTTATGAACTTCAGCAACTGTTCACGTCACAAAAAAAGCTATCATTAGCTAATGTAAAATTCTAGCTAATGCTATTATCTTTCTGAAATGGGTGTTTTTCTCCAGGTGCTCTGGGCTGATCAGAACACATGCTGGGTTCATGCTGTCCATGACATTTGTGCAGGACTAAAACCAATAAATAATAATCACATGACTAAAAGTAAAAATACCAAACTATTCTTCAGAAACTGTGAGTGTGGCTGTGAGAGGAGGGTGCAGGGTCAGTCTCAGCCTGTCTGAGCAGATAAAAGTGGTTTTGCTCTTGTTTCCATGTGTGTGTGAGTGTGTGTGTAGCCTCATCTCACACACACAGATCACCGTGTTGGGAGGCAAAGTGAAACAGGGTGACCATAAAACCAAAATGGCCTTCACTTAGTGTTCCTGCACCCCCTCCCTCAGCCCGCTGCCTGCACCCATTCCTCTTTTTCTTTAATTTTTTTTATTTTTTTATTCTGTACTATGAATAAATTTACTCTGTCCCGGACATGAAAATGTCAAATACCTAAAATACACCTAGGCTAAATAGCATATTAATTTTTAATGCCTGCTCATCCTATGCTGCTATTCTCATATCAGGCCTGTCTGCCAACAGCTGTTGCTGGCTCTGTAGCTGGGAATTTATCATCCATCTAGCTAAAGGAGGGGACAGAGGGAGAGAATAAAAAAAGAGATGGGAGACATTGTTCGGGAGGTGAGGGGAGGGGGGGAGGGACAGCTCTGTGTTTTCATGGATCCCTACCTGCATTTATATCACCCGCACCTCACAACTTTCTTCCTCTGATATACGAGTGGGATTCAATTACACTAATGCCAAACATAAATTGTTGGAGATTCGCTGCTTTTCCGCCTTTGCCGTGTTAGAAATAAGGAGCCGAGTGGTGACATTGACGCTGGAGGTAGTGACATTGGGGAGAGCGGCAGAGGGAGACGAGATGCACTGAAGCAATGTGCCAGTGTGGGTGTTGAATGCCACCCATGTGCGTTTTTAGGTGGCATGTGGTGGATGATTATCATAGATTATCACAATCCAGATTGTTACAAGTTCTGTCTGCGCACATAGCAGCAGTGTACTGTAGCTGTGTGACTGTGTGTGTGTGTGTGTGTGTTTTGGTTTAAGACTCGGGGCCTTTGGGGATAAGACTATGGTGAGTGAATGACGAACAGTTGGAATGTGTGTGTGTGTCTTGTTCTTTTATCCTGACAGTGGGAGAAGTAAATACCGTACAGGAAGTGGAAAAGCTCCACGCTCAGGACATTTTGCTGCTGGCACACACATGCTACACTTGGCAGAGCAGCTCAGGTGTCTGCACAGGTATATCAGGTGTTTGAGCTTCTTCTTCATCTTTACTTTGGAAGCTAACCAGCGAGCGAGGTGGTCGTCATGTTAGTCAGCTGCCTCTCCTGAGAGCCTC